CCCTTTCACAGTATACTGTGATAGAATGACACGACCAGTTGGACTGAGCCCCGCACTGCCGCATTTTTTTTTTTTTCAAATTCTGACTGCTAGCGGTGGGACAAGAGAGAAGATTCCCCACTAGCTGTCAAAATGGAGGATCGGGGGGTGCGGGGGCCGCTCCTTTTATAACATGTTAAGAATATGGGTGTAATATGTTACAAAAGATGAACTTATCCTTTGATGGTCGAAAATCTGTAGTGATGTTTTTGAGCCAAAAAATTGCAGGAAAACTTTGGGAAAACTTCTCCTGAATGAACAATAAATTGAAAGGTCAATGTGTTTTTCGCCCATTAAATATCAAATTGTACTGCGCACATGTGAGAACTTTAATGAAAAACGATTAATTTATGCCCATTGAACAATTTATTGTTAGAAAATTGGTTATTGCATGATGGCAATATTGCTTGCTCTCATGACCGTGTGTTTGTTTTTCGGAAATGCGTTTGATTGATTTTTTCGACTAGTGTATGGCTAGCATTTGGGAATACTCTGCTGAAAGCCCCTGCCCCCCAGTCTGTTGATTGGAGAGTGAAGGAGTTGCAGAAGACTGATGAGGTAATATATTTGTTTACTTTTCACTCTCCTCTTATCACCACATTCCTTTTCAGCATATTTGCATGCAGCTCACCTGATTGGCTGTTACTGCTGCCTCTTCCTCTCCCAGGCTGAGGTCTGCTGTACAGATTATCAAGTCAAATTCAGGTACTTATAATGGTTGTCAGTAAAAGCATACATGTACAGTAATGACTTACTTATAAATACAGACCTGCATTATTATTATTATTTCAGGTACTTGTATAGCGCCGTCAATTTATGCAGCGCATTACATACAGTATATATTGTACATTCACATCAGTCCCCAACTCAACCTCAAGGGGTGTACAATCTAAGGTCCCTAACTTACATTCATACATACACATATTAGGGCCAATTTAGACAGGATCCAATTAACCTACCAGCATGTCTTTGGAGTGTGGGAGGAAAACAGAGTACCCAGAGGAAATCCATGCAGGCACAGGGAGAACATGCAAACTCCAGGCAGGTGGTGCCGTTATTATCTGTCTTATATATGCCTGGAGTTCAGCCTTAAATCTCTCAAACACATTCATATTTTTACTGCTGAGTGCAGAAGGTTGATGAAATTTACTAACTGCATTGCTGTGCTTAATTTATTTAATGCATTGCACATCTTGTTATATGTTTACTTTTGATAATCATTTATTTGTAAAGTGCCAGCTAGTGAGCTATACAATATGACACGTAATCATGCAATTTATTAGCACACTAGTACCAATGTGCTGCCTGCAATAGCGTATTGTCTGTATTTCTCAATATACCGTTTTTAATGACCAGTAGTAAACAAGAAAAGGATTTGATGGAAATGGATACCATCAAAAAATTTGTGTAAATATATTGCAGCTTACAGATGTGTTTACACATCAGATCAAATTTTAATGCTTGCTGTCTTTTAAAGCATGCACAGTTTGAAATACCTGAGAAACAGTTTTCTTTTTTCTACAAGATCAAATGTGGTTGTGCACAATGATTTACTGAGCATACAATAAGATATGCAATTGCCTTGGCGACTCTGTCAATTATGAGATGTGGTGAGAATTTGAAGAAAGTGAAAAACTAGAGCATTGCATTAGGTGTAAAGAGGGAATATGAAACATAACATTCCACATTGTCTCATTTCATTATTCAAATTCAAGGAAACTGACACATGCATCGAATGAAGTGATTGAAAAGAGGGTGGTGTAATTTTGTGATTCATTTTTGTAATGTATCATATAAATTAGAATAGACAGATTATGTTGTGGTTTTATTTAACTTTGCGTATCCGTTTCCTCTCTTGATTTATACGGTAGGCTGTCACTGAAATCGGGGTCAATATCTCATTCACTTATGGCAAGAAAAATGAGTGTATTTTTGCTTCATACATATTGTGATATTATATACTATGATAGGGCCCTGAACACGCACTTTGGTATACAGTATATGTCACTTTCAGTCTGTCTTCTGCTCTTCTTTCTAAAGGCGACCCCATACACATAATACCCCTTTCTAAACAGTCAACACATGAAATATCCACCAATACAGAACCTTATTAAAGAATAATATAATTAGAGAGCGAAATGTTTCCCATCAAATTATTTTAAAAAAAGTAATAAAGTAAATAGAATAATAAAAAATATATGAACGACTTGAGCTCCAGAAGTTTTTACCCCCTTCATGGCCAGATATTTTTTTACTATTCAGCACTGCACTACTGCATGCAAATTAAATTTATATTGTTCTTTTTTCATTCAAACAGGGTTTTCTTTTGGTGGTATTTGATCACCACTGGGTTTTTTTATACTTTTTTAGCAAAAAATGACTGAAAATTTTGAATAATCAATATTTTCTACTATCTGTCATAAAACATATCCAATAAAGGCCAAAATGTATTTCGCTACGTGTCTTGGGTGAAAAAATTCCATTAAGTACATTAATTGGTTTGTGTGAAAGTTGTAGTGTCTACAGACTATATATATATATATTAAGAAAAATGATCAGTTCTGATATACTGACGGCCTGTCTCATTGCTTGAGGTCCTAAAATGCTAGGGCAGTACAAATTTACCCCTTTTGGAAAGTAGAGAGATCTGAGACATTTAGTAAGAGGTGTGGCGAGTTTTTATGACGTAATTTATTTATTTATTTCAGGTACTTATATAGCACCGTCAATTTACGCAGTGCTTTACATATATATTGTACATTCACATCAGTCCCTAACCCTAAAGGGGCATACAATCTACGATCCCTAACTAAATTTTTTGCCAACATTTTTTTTTTAAATTGAAGTTGAAAAAAATTTGTGTTTATTTTTTCATATTTTGTTTTTTTAAATATATGATCACCAGTGCAGTACAGGGTCACTGTCAGCACCTGTGGTAGTGAGCCCTTGTAGATAGTCAACTTGGGGTTCCCCAGGGTGTGGAGTCTAAGCCCCAGCCTGCTTCTTCACCAGAGCCCCTGATGGTGGGGGGATGGACTTGCAGCAAGCTGGGACCATGTCGCTGCCCCCGGGTATGCCCAGCTGAGGACGAGGAGACCTTTCATGGGAGCAGAGTACAATGGGAGGAGACAAACGGGAATCCGATAGCCTAGCCAAGGTCAGGACGGGCGGAAAACAAGCACAGTCAAAGAACGAAGCCGAGGTCGGTACACGAGTAGTCAATGCAGGATAGAGGAGATAGCAACACACAGGAGCTCAGACAACTAGGAAGCTGCTCAGGCAAAGTGGCCTAGACTAAGCATGTCTTATATAGGCAGGCAAACAAGGAGACGGGCCAGGAAGTGATGGAAGGGAAGGAAATAAACGCAGAGAATAGCAGACGGCACCCATAGGTGAGCATGGACAAACACACATGTGAAAAGGATCAGGAACAGCACTGCAGCAAGGAGGTAAGAATACACAAACAAGAAACTGCAGGCTAACTTGTGACAGTCATCATATGACTGGAGGTGATCAGGGACACTGACTGGTGACAGTATGTTAAAAAAATAAATAAATTATATATGTACCAATTTTTTCCTTTTTTAACATTTTTTATTCTATTTTTCTTTTACATACTTTCATCAGAGTAGTTTAGTAACACAGCACTTCTCTGGGGGGTGATAAGGTATTTTTTTTGTACACTTTGTAACAGCAAAGTTTTCAACTTTCATGAATGGGTTACATTCATGAAAGCTGTGATCTCTTCTGATCTGTGATTGGCTACAGCTAATCACATGGTACAGGGTGCTGTGATTGGCTCAGGTACAATGTGATAGCTGTGGGCCAATCACAGCATATGAAACACAGCTGTTATGAATGAATTAATTCATAACAGCTTTGTTGACACTGTGATCATGTGAGGATTCACAATGCTTTGGTATTGGGAGGGGCAGGGGGAGGGCTGCTGTACCTCTGAACTGGAGCCGGCAAAATTATGTACATTTACTTGATTTTGCTTACTGCAGCTCAGACGGAAAGGGACTAGTCAGCAGTATTGTCTGTGGTCTTTCTTCAGCTAATTTTTCTCCCATTACTGACTTACTGTGTCTTGTTCTGCACTGCGTCTCTGTGTGAAGGCATCCACCTTGGTAGAGTCAGGGTGTTGTTTCCATTATGTCCAACAAAGAGATCAGCGAACAGCTACCTCAGGCTAGTGGGTAGCAGTGCTTTGGGTCACACAGTAGAGATCTAGCTTTGAGGCTGTAGACACAGGAATGCCTAGGCACCCTCACAAAATAGGAAGTGCATTGCTATTTTCAGACAAAATGTACCTTTTAGTGGACTTCTCACAATTAACAATTATAAATGTAAGCCTGCCGGTTCAGGAAAAAAATGCAGGGCATGGTACGACCTCTAAAGACCCCTTTGGCTGACTGATCTTGGATAGAAAAATAATTTGACAATGCATGTTTAAGCTACAGGCAATCTCAAAAATGAATTGCCATTTTGTCTTGTGTCCTCTCATGTTTGATTGCCTAAAATATAACAATGTTTTGGGCTGGGCCAGTATTGTTGTAATGGTTATTGGCTGATCTGTCTGTGAAGGTTCTGATTTATCCAGGTCATGGTTTACCTAGTAGTCATTAATTACATTCCCCTTTACTTTTCTGGAATGTTGAAGATGGGTAAAGGACTAGTTACCAGTATTCCCTTTGCTCTTCCTTTAGCCAATATAAATGCTGGGGAATTTTCCTGACACTCATTAGAACTGAGGAAACGGCTTGCATAAGCTATGAAAGGTCTTCAGCATTGCAGAACAAGTCCAGTTGTTGGGGACTATCACTAGTAGAGATGAGCGAATTATTCAAAAATTCGATTCGGCTGATTCGGCGAATTCGCGGAATAAATTCGATTTGAGTCGAATATATTTGCTGCGAATTTAACTTATAAAAAGGGTGTTTCTAGGCTTCAGAGAGCCTTTATATTAGTGCAGAACACTGTACCTTTAATTTAAATGCCCTTGGAGTCTGCTGGGGAAGAGAAATAATACTGTCAGTCAGTATGACATGCAGATGAGTGCCGTCGATCTTAGAATCACCGCACACTTCACTCATTTGGGCAGTCACGGGGCCAAAACCAGAGTGTGGAGCCACAGTGTGGCGGTGGAAGGCAGCAGCAATGGGAGGCCATACAGCACCCTATGAAAAAATGGAACCCACCAGCAGTGTGAGGAGACCTGAAAGTGGCACATGGCAGAGTGTGGCGATGGAGACAGCAGCAATGGGAGGCCGTACAGGGACCCATGACACACTCTGGACCTGGCAGCAGCATGAGGAGGCGGTACAGGGGCCCATGACAGATTACGGGCCTGGCAGCAGCATGAGGAGTCGGTAACGGGGCCCATGGCAGATTACGGGCCTGGCAGCAGCAGCAATGGGAGGCCATACAGCACCCTATGAAAAAATGGAACCCACCAGCAGTGTGAGGAGACCTGAAAGTGGCACATGGCAGAGTGTGGCGATGGAGACAGCAGCAATGGGAGGCCGTACAGGGACCCATGACACACTCTGGACCTGGCAGCAGCATGAGGAGGCGGTACAGGGGCCCATGACAGATTACGGCCTGGCAGCAGCATGAGGAGTCGGTACGGGGGCCCATGGCAGATTACGGGCCTGGCAGCAGCAGCAATGGGAGGCCATACAGCACCCTATGAAAAAATGGAACCCACCAGCAGTGTGAGGAGACCTGAAAGTGGCACATGGCAGAGTGTGGCGATGGAGACAGCAGCAATGGGAGGCCGTACAGGGACCCATGACACACTCTGGACCTGGCAGCAGCATGAGGAGGCGGTACAGGGGCCCATGGACAGATTACGGGCCTGGCAGCAGCATGAGGAGTCGGTACGGGGGCCCATGGCAGATTACGGGCCTGGCAGCAGCAATGGGAGGCCGTACAGGGACCCATGACACACTCTGGACCTGGCAGCAGCATGAGGAGTCGGTACGGGGGCCCATGGCAGATTACGGGCCTGGCAGCAGCAATGGAAGGCCCGTTAATCTGCCAGCACCCTATGACAAAATGGAACCCACCAGCAGTGTGAGGAGACCTGAAAGTGGCACATGGCAGAGTGTGGGCGATGGAGACAGCAGCAATGGGAGGCCGTACAGGGACCCATGACACACTCTGGACCTGGCAGCAGCAAGAGGAGGCGGTACAGGGGCCCATGGCAGAGTGGCGAAGCGTAAGCAGCTTAAATTGAAGGCCATACAGAGGCCTATGTTAAAAATAATAACATGTTTGGGGCATGATTCATGGCGGATTTAGTCAGTTGTGTCAGGAACTGGTGGTTTGAAATCCAGACTAATCCACGCCTGATTCATTTTCACAAACGTGAGTCTCTCCACACTTTGGGTGGACAGTCGTGTCCTCCGCGGAGTTACAATACCTCCTGCCGCACTAAACACGTGCTCCGATGCCACGCTACTGGCCGGGCATGACAGCCTTTCAAGGGCAAATTCAGCTAGTTGGGGCCAAAGGTCAAGTTTCGTTGCCCAGTAGTCAAGGGGATTGTCTACCTCGGTTGGCAGTGTGCTGTCCAAGTAGGCCCAAGCCTGTTGTTTGAGGTCCTGCTCCAGGTCCACCTGATTGCTGCTGCTTCTGCTGCGGCTGGTTAGTAGTTTCCTCACTGTGCTGGTGAAGAAAGCTACTCATCATCGACTGCAGACTGAGGCAGCCGCTGCTGGTGGAGCTGCCACTGCTCCTACCACCCCACCCCTCCCCTGCTGCCATGGCAGCGGAACGCGAGCGCACAGGGCCCACAGTGTCTGAGGATGGACGTTGGCGCAGAAAGGCAGAGACCAACTGACTACATAGGTGGTTTTTATAGTACGTTATTTTGGCCTCCCTCTCAGCAGGTGTAAAAAAGGCCACCATTTTTTGAACAGTAGCGTGAGTCCAACAAGGTGGACAGCCAAAAGTCATCCCTCTGTCTGATGGTTATTATTCGGCTGTCGCTACGCAAGCAACCGAGCATGCTATGGGCCATTTGTGCCAAGGAATGCGAGGGACTCCCTGCCTCCATCTCCACAGCATACTGCCACGGTGCGTCTGGGTCCTCTGTCTCCTCCTCCTCCTCTACCAGATGCTCCTGCTCCTCCACTCCTGTCCGCTGAGTGGAAAAACCACCCATTTCACTCAATAATTCCTGAGCACCAATGTCCTCCTCTACCTCCTCCTCTTCTTCCTGTCCTGCCCCCACAGGGGTCATGTGCGTTGAGATCTGTGCGCCACGTTCTACCGCACCCTGACCAGCCATTGTTAACAGCATTTGTTCAGGACGTGCAACAGAGGAATGACGTCGTTCATCCCATAGTCCTGCCGACTCACGAATAGCGTGGCCTCCTCAAAGGGCCTGAGCAAGCGGCAGGTGTCACGCATGAGCTGCCAATGGCTGACATCTAAGTTACACAGGGGAGTACCTTTATCCGCTTGTAACATCAGGAAATCGGTGATGGCCTTTCGCTGTTCGTAAAGGCGGTCTAACATATGTAGGGTTGAATTCCACCTTGTTGCAACGTCGCAGATCAGGCGATGCTGTGGAATTCTGTTCTGCCGCTGCAGCTCAAGGAGGGTGTGCTTTGCGGTGTAGGAATGGCTGAAATGCATGCAAAGTTTACGTGACATTTTAAAGGATGTCTTGCAGTGGGATGGTGGATTTTAGGAACCGCTTGACAACCAGATTGAACACGTGAGCCATGCATGGCGCATGGCACAACCTTCCTTGACGCAGAGCAGACACCATGTTCTTTCCGTTGTCGGTCAACATGGTCCGATTTTCAGTTTGCGCGGAGACAGCCATCTGTCGATTTCTCTGTTCATTACACTCAGAAGTTCCTCCTGTGTGACTACGTTCGCCAAGGCATACCAGGTGCAGCACAGCGTGACACCGTTGCGCCCTGCACATGTGATATGCCGGTCGGGTAATGGGATTGGCACGGGGGTGGCGGCTGAGGACACGGCGGAAGAAGAGGTGGTAGAGGCGGACATCTTTGCTGGACCAAGGACGTGCAAACGTGGAGGCAAAAGCGGCTGTGACCTGTCCAAGTTGCTGGTGCGGCTGTGCCGGCACCACGTTCACCCAGTGGGCCGTAAATGACATGTACTGTCCCTGACCGTAGTTTACAGCTCCACACGTCGGCGCTGCCGTGCACTTTGGCAGAGACCGACATGCTCAAAGACTGGCCCACCATCTCTTCTACATGTGAATGCAGGGCTGGCACTGCCTTTTTGGCGAAGAAATGCCGGCTTGGCACTCTCCACCGCGGCGCGGCACAAGCCATCATTTCTCGGAAAGGTGCTGAGTCCACCACTTGGAAAGGGAGGGACTGCTAGCACCAGCAACTTGGACAGGAGGACGTTCAGCTTCTGCACCGTCGGGTGCGTGCTCGCAAACTGTTGTCTCTTGGAAACGGATTCCAAGAAAGACTGCTGACGGAATCCGTGGAAGAGGAGTAGCAGGAGAAGAGCATCTGAACGAGCGGAAGATGCCAACGAGCGACAACTCCCCTCAGCAGAGGTGTTGGAGCCTTGACTGGCTGATAGAGGGCGATTGACGTCGGGTGACGGAGCAAGTAACGGAGCGGGTGATGGAGCGGGGGCTGGGGGCAGGCAGAAAGAACCGCCGTATCTTTATCACGGTTTTCCCAGGCCACCGAAAATGGCGACGCTGCATATGCTGCCGCAAAACGCTGTAGTCCAACATGGGCCCCCTGGCCACGCTTGACTTTCTGGCCACATAGTCGACATACGGCTAGTTTACTTCCTCGGGCGGCTTGACGAAAAAATTTGCCACAACCCACCGCCGAGTAGGAAACTTTGCCCCCGCTACTCCTCAACTGGCTGACTGCTACTTCCTCCGTGCACACCGGCACCACTACTGGCCGTGGTGGTAGGCTGCAGTGGAGCTGGTGCTCTACTCCTTGTGGCCGTTTGCCTCCACTGACACTGCTGCGACCCTGCTGCCTCCCTGGGCAACCCACCGACTGTTTTGCTCGCTGCCAAGCTGGCACCCTCTTCTCCTGATGATGCGGAAGCAATAGCCTGGACGACGACGAGGAGTGCCAAGTGCAGATCAGCCTCATCATCATCAATTAGGGTCTCCGCCTCAGCTACTAGCCCCCTCGGCTGCGTGTGGGTCAGGAGCCTGCCTGTCATCTAGACCGGCTACCAGAGACCAGCCACTCTCCTCGCCAGTACTTCTTTCGCCTGGCTGCTGAAGAGGCGGCATGTCTCCCCCCGTTCCTGACCGCCCTCTGTTAGCTCTTCCTCACTGTACAGTGGGGCTGAGCCCACAGCATGCGATCTTTGGCTTGGTGAGGGAACACCAAAGGACAGGGGCAGGTAGAGGACGCGTGATTTCAGTGGGCTTGCTCCCCTGGGCACATTGCCAACTAAACGGTTGTGTCTGGACGTTACACAGCGACCGTCTGGCTGTAGGGTGTTGTCAGAGTGTGACCTGGAAGAGGAAGACGAACCGAGACAACAATCGATGACGGCAGGGTTTGTCGGTGGCGGGACTCGACCGCTGGATGCACTGGGAGCACTGGCCTCTGGCTGCGACTACGCTGCTGCCTCGGACCCTTCCTCTGCTGACTACGTCTGTCGCTCCTAAAAACCATTGCCTCCTTGCCCACTCC